CCCCCCCCCCCGCGGTGGCCCCCGTGCTCTGGAACTGCGGCTCAGCTTTTGTTCTTGTCTGGCTAACGCCGGCTTCAGCATTTCCCCAAACATCGCCCTACCAGGCCCCGGGCCGCAGGGGTTCAGCGCAGCGCTGCAGCCCGAGTTCGATCCCGGCCAGCGGGGACCCGGGCACGGCAGAGCCCACAGTCCCCCGCTGCCCCTCAGCCGGGGGTCTCAGTGGACCCGCCTGTTCTCCCGACTCTGCCTCTGGGGGGTCCTCTCACCCCTGCACCCCAGTTCTTGTACGTATAACTAAATCTTAAAAAGATGTATTACCTGTGGGACCCGCCATCCCGGAGGAAGCTGGGCGGTGACTGCCTGGGTGCCCGACACCAGGTTCACACGGAGCGTCGCACGTCCACGGCCAAGACAGGAGCAGGACTGACCTGGCCCTCGTCCACACCCTGCCCCATGGGAGGCCCCCGTGCAGGTCCGGGCGGGAGCCCCCCGGAACTGAGCCCTGAGGCCCAGCTGGGGAGCTGGGGAGGGGCTGGAGCGGGTCCTGCTCCCATCTGCAGCCCGCGCAGGCCACGCAAGGCCACGCACAGGCCACGCAAGGCCACGCACAGGCCACGCACAGGCCACGCACAGGCTGTGGCCTGAGCTACAGGCCCGATCCCGGGGTTGGGGCCGCGGGCTCCAGCCCACACCTGCTGCCTGCGCTCCCAGACCCGCTCAGGGGCGTCCCCTAACCGTGCACCCCCGGGGAGGGTTTACCTGAGCCCCTTAGGTTTGCTGACAGCCTGCGCCCCGCCCTCGGCAAGCCGGTCAGAAAGCGGCGGCGGCCTTCCCTGGGCAGCGCTGTGGCCGGTCTCTTCGTCCAGAGGGGTGTGAGTGTCCACTTGCTGGGCAGCCACAGGGCCCCAGAGGACTGCGTGTGCACAGCTGGCACTGTTCCTGGGCTGCCTTCACTGCGCCCCAATGAGTGTGGGGCTCCCCAGAGTGTGGGGCCCGGATGAGGGGGCTCCCCCGTGAGTGCCCCCCCAGTGAGTGTGGGGCTCTCAGGAGCGGGGGCCCCGAAGAGGGGGCTCCCCCATGAGTGCCCCCCCGTGATGTGGGGCTCCCAGGAGCGGGGGCCCCAAAGAGGGGCTCCCCCATGAGTGCCCCCCCGTGA